TTTTTCAAATTTATAAAAACAAGGCTAAGAGGGACTAAATTCGTTATGCCAAAGTTAATCTCGAACTAATATCGAGTATTTCAAATATTTATGGGAAGTATATAAATTACATTTCAACACGAGATGGTATTAAATTTGAAATAGAACAAATCTCAAAGTGTAGAGAACAAAATAATATTTTAATATAAGTATAAATTTGGTGATGATGTATTTTTTTTGGTACAATAAAGATGAGGATGGAGGATCGAACGTCCAATCTCAAAGGAATGAGTGGATTGCCTTAACTGTTGAACCTAATATCGGCGAGATGATGTATTATTTAGCTTTAATATAAAGAGTTTAAAAAATGTCTTTAAATTTTCAATTTTGAGTATTCTAGACAAAATAAGAGACTTTTTTTTAATTATTATTATTATTATGCTCGATTCTTATAATAGAATACATTTCCGGGGAGCACATACACAGACGATAATTCGGTTTGGCTTTTGGAAAATGTGGGAGAGAAAAAGGAAATAGGGTAATTCTTGTCTTACATTGAAGGTACATAACAACATGATTTAAGGATGAAAAAACCATGATTAACCTACTCTTAATCTTATCTAATGTAATATAAGAGTACAAGAACATAACAAACACAAAATCTTAATTTAATCATGAAATTGACCCCTTTCTATCCATACAAAATTTTGTTTGATAATAGAATGAATATATATTTAGGAATTGCGAAGATGTTTAGATGTTTTATCCGAATTAAGTTACGTTCAAGTTGGTATAATTTCCTTTCCCTACAGCGTGACTATTTTTTTTTTTTTTGTAATATTGTGAAAAAATATGATTATTTTATAATTCATTTCTAAGTTTAATTAGCTTATTAGATTTAGTTTGTCTCAATCACACCTTCCTTCCTCTCTATTTTTCAACTTTCATTCCAAAATGAATAGGTAGTGAAAGAGTAACTCATATATTTTATAAAACTTGGTAGCCACCTTGATCTTTTGGATAAGGGATCCGTTTAGTTGGTTAGCAAAGTCGTCTGGCAAAGGGATATCATATTGCCACTTAAACAAGAGAAGAACTTTTGCAACTTGGATAAAGTTGTCTTTTGAAGAAATGCCCTCGCTTCAACCGGATTAAAACTACAATATTTTTAAATATTAGATTTGAAATATTTTATATACAAAAGGTTGACATGTACACCTTTGTCCCTCCTTGTAAAAGTTTTTTTGGCTCCATCCTTTCGATGAAATCTAACCAAATATCTTTCTTAAAATACCAACTCTCTCTCTAAACTTTTAACTTTTTTTTAGTCCACATTCTTTACAATTATCATTAACAAAATAATAAACATGATTTGCCCGCCAACTATATTTTTTTGGTCGAGAGTCGATTTTAATATGACAAATAGTTGAAAGCGTCGCACAAGACATCAATCAACATAATGTTGGTTAATAATGTTAATAACATGAGCTAAATTGAAAGGATAATTAAATTTATATTTAAGAAACAAATAATATGTAAGGAGAATAAAAAGAATATATATACAAATCGAATAAAAGAATAGGGCATGAAATCAATAGGGATGTAGCCATTGGTCTGCATCAATAAAGGACAAGTTGAGAAAAGGAGAAACTTGTGTGTCGTTGAGCCTCTGAACGAACGGCGCCCTGGCGCCGGTATTGGCGCCTGCGCCACTGCAGTTGTACTCTCCATAGAAGATCGTCCTGAAATATCAACACATCAAATCAAATCAGTTGTCTCAATTAATACTTTAAAGTTTTAAATAATATTTTCTGACTCTATATTTTTATGTTACAATTTTTTGTTTATTTTAATTATTGGTCTTAAGAAAATGAAACAATTTTATTCTATTTACAAAATTTTAACTCAAAATGTAAACTTTTTTAATACGAATTATGATTACATTTCAAAAAATTTTGAGTGTCATACTAAATTTATGATTGAAAAAAATTAAATCAAAATAGTAGTTTTTAGAAGTTAAAAGAATCAAAGTAAACTTTTTAAAAGTTTAAATATATATGACATGAAGTAATACTAGACATGAACTTTGACTTCTTAACCTAAGTTAGCACATGTGCATTACTAAAATTATTAATATTTATAGGATTTTATATCAAAACCAATTGACAATGACAATGATCTCCTCAAGATCGTGGCTCTTTTAGTTCATTGATCTTGATCGAATCTGATTTATGGATCGGATGTCCATTTGAGCCTTTGGGTTATGATACCCTATTAAAATTATTAATATTCATTCAAATTCAATTGACAATCAAAGGAGGAGTACACTTATATTATAAATATTTGTTAGATCTCTTACCTTATCGATGTGGGATCCTCAACCTACATTAACAAATAATTGTATATTCATAGTTAATATTGTGATCTTTTTATCTTTTTTAGGTTTTGATTTCCATATTGAAATTACTCTTGTCGAAAGATTTTCATGTTAAAATTAGTAAGAAATAATGGCAATATTAAGATTTAAAAGCTACACTTCTCTTGCTAAGCTCAATGGAGAAAAAAAAATCATAAATAAATTTAAATTTAAATTTAAATTTATTTATTTATAATATAAGTGACTAGATTATTTGTTTGTTTTCCTTTTTTAAGTTTAAAATTATGGGAAGGGAAGGGAAGGGAAGGGAACGTACTGGTCTCTGGCAGGGTCATTAAAGTCATTCCACCCCTCGGGTGCAATAATATCGGTCATGACAGTATTCACGAAGACGACGCGAGAGAAGGGACGCCACGCGCGGCCGAGCCACACCCTGCCGGTCCCGGCGACGGAGCAGTTAACGAAAGCAAAACCAGAGTTCTCGTCGGCGGAGGCTCTGCCGTGCGCCGTCACCGCTCCGTTCACAAACTTCGACCCTTGCGGCACCGGATTCGCCATCGAAATCAACTGGCAACTCTGCGATTTCATTTTATTTTATATTTGATTTAGCGCTTCAAAATTAAAAATAAATAATTAATTAATTAGGGCTCCGATTGCGATTACCTCGTAGAAGGATCTTCCGTTGCCGAAGATGAAATCGATGGAGCCTTGGATGTAGCAATCCTTGAAGTAATGGCGGCCGCGGTCGTCGTGGAGCGTGTCTTGGGCTCCGAAGAATCCGCAGCTCCAAAACGCCGCCGCGTCTCCGCCGATTCTCATCGCCACCGCCTGCGCTCCCACATCGCCCGGCCCCGGAATTGGCGCCACGTTCTGCCACAAATTTTGTTAATTAATTTGGTTGGATTTTGGTTTTTGTTGGGGAATTTCTTTTTTGGATTTACATTTATTGATTAATCCTAACGAAATTAAAACAGAACTTAGGGTTCAATATTTTTTCTTTTTTAATTCATCGATGGGAGCGAGCGTAGGAGATTTGAACATCTTATTATAATCATGAGATTGAGGTTGGCTAATTTTGTAGGTTCAAATCATGAATTATCAAAAAAAAATTTTTAAGGCAACAACAAATTTATTTTGTTTGAATCTTAAGTGTGAAGTTTTTTTTTAATTAACCTTATTTCCTAATAATTAGATCTTTGTCTACATTTTTCACCATACAAAATGACTTTTAAGTTTTTTCTTTTTTATAAAATTGACTTTTAGGTTTTAACAAAATTCAGAAACTAAAAACAGGTCTTAAAATTTAAAAAATGTTTTTACACACCTTGATTATAAATTAAAAGAATCGTGTCATCAAATTTACCAGGTATAAAAAAAAAAGAATAATTATCAAACCGTTATCAAACTGGCAGACAAAATTTTCTGAAAAAAAAAAGAAAGAAAAAGAAAAAACTGGTCGACAAAAGTAAATATAATTAACCTAAAATTGAGGTTTAATTACATATATTTTATCGTTAAAATTTAACCTAGCTAATTTCATCATTCCTCGAAAAAAAAGAAAAAAAATCAATAGTTATCATAGTTTTAAGTTATTAAACATGTTTGTCAGTTTTTTAGTTGGATTCAGTGGATCGAATTCACAAACTCGGTTAGAGATATATGTTAATTATCGTTCAATTAAACTCGTTCTAACCAACATATTTATCATTTACTATAATTTAACTGTAAATAAATATAGCTATAAAAATACTCTGGCAAATTAGCTTCAAATCTCTACCATCCTATTATAATAATTACGGCACACTCGACTAAATAATTTGTGACTACGTTTAAAAATGAGTTATAAAGATCCAATAAGCATTATTATCTTTTTTAATCTAAACCTAAATAATCCCTATTTTGGTTGAACTAAAAAAATGATAATATTAAAAATGTGATTTAAAATATTAAAAATGATAATTAATATATATACCATGAAGCTTATATTCTTGGCAATAAAATTGGAAGAGAAGACTTGGACAGAGGCACTGTAAAAGGTGCCATGAGAAGAGTTGGCCGTGTCGTTCCAAACAATGGCCGTCGTTGTATAGCCCTGTCCTTCAAACGTCACGTTTTGTTTTGATCTGGGAACCATCACTTTCTCACTGCGAAACAAACATACAATAATCCATAACCAAAATCAAGAACCAGTTCAACAATAATTAACATATATCTTCAACCAAGAGTTTGTGGATTCGATCAACATATTTAGCATTATAATTACTAGTAGATTCCGCTGTTGATCCAAATCAAGTTTCGTTTCAGGCTCAGGTTCGGCACCGCGTCGACCGCCGCCTGAACGGTCGTGAAGTTGCAGCACCCGTTGCGGTCGACGCAAAAGACGGAGGTGGTGTTGGTTTCTGTCGGGAGAAGGCTAGCCGGGAACATGTCACATATGGAACTAGAAGCCGCCTGGTCTTCTTCATCGGCCGGGCTTTCATGACGACGGTGATGATGATGGTGGTGGTGGTGACGACGACACGTGACGTGATCGCGGAGGAAGGCGAAGTCAAGGTCGGAGAGGAAGCGAGGAGCGGGATGATTGATGAGGAGGAAAGCAAGGAGAGGGATGAGAGAAGAGAGAGCAATGGTCATGAGATTGTTGAGATTATTCATGGTGTGACTACTAAATGGGGAGAAATGCAATGCAATTAGAAAATGCAGATTGAAGAAGGGGATGTGTTATAAATATTAGTAGGGAAATGCGCAAATAGGATGCACTTCAAGTCAAAGGGTTGAGATGGCATGTCTTGCAAACCACCACTCTTACTGGACCTTATTACTTATCCACCAATCTCTCTCTCTATATTCAATACTTATAAGAGTTTTAATATTTGATTGGCTGTCTCTCATCTAATTCTTTCATATGAAGTTTCTTATAAAGCTTATCGATGGCTTCTGTCTCATCTCTCACTTTCTTGTAACAAGTCCAATGGTTAAGGTGTTATTAGGTTTATATTTTGCTAATTTGATTAGTAGTTATCAGTATGAAAGAAATTAGCTAGTTCTTGTAACCAACTCTTTTGTATAGTTTAAGTGTGCACGTTTTATTACTCTTTTGGCATGATCACTTGATGAAATATGTATTTTTAAATGGAGAGTTTTTATTGTCGTAAAGTTTATACGGAATTGTAATCATAATTGGGTTACTTGTCCAAGAAGAAAACGGTTGATGGGTATGGTGCATGTGGTAAAAGTTTAGTTTTTTACGAAATTGTAATCATTATTGGATTACTTGCCAAGAAGAAAATCATTTATGGATGCATATAGTTGTGTAAATGTTAGTGTTTATCTTTCTCTAGGCTTCTGGGGATGGCACAATGGCAAACGTTTGGGACCTTGAGGTACAACCTACCTTGAGATCTCAAGTTTGAGTCATGTGTATGTATTGGTCACAGTGTTGCTCAGTCCAGATCACGAGTCTCGATTATAGGGAGATCTGCTAATGTAAGTTCATACAAGATATTGATTTTGAGAAATAAATAAAAATAAAAGTCTTTATCCTTCTCTAACAAAAAGTTGTGTGTTTTGTTTGAAGAATTATGTTTGTAGAGTTATAATTGAGTGACTTGTGATTAGGGTTACCAAGTATCATTTAATAGAGATGTACATGTTAGATACAATTTTTACCGTATTATATATAAATGGTTGCAAGGAGCCACACTGAAGTCTTTATTTTCAACACTTTCTCTTACCTCAATTCCGGATGAGATTACCATACTTTGAAGTCACACTTCTCTCGTGTTTAAACTATAAACAGTTTCAATTATTATTATTAAAAAAATGCAAAACCTAAGAGAACAAAATTTTAGTAACAAGCATTAATGAATATGATTTGCATTTTTTTTTATTAATCTTACTTTTATTTGGGTCACAATACTTATTTTATTTTAGGCTATAATCTTTATATAAAAAATTCATTTTTTGTCATCCTCATTTAAATTTATAGTTCACGCGTTTACTCATTGCTTCTAATATTATTTTGGAGGGTGTTTGATCGACACATACTGCCAAGTTGTGAGTAATAATTGAAGAAAAAAGAAAAAATCTTAAAATTATTTTATTGGTTTTATTGGTTTTATTATTTCAAATTAAAGTATTACAAATTATTAACATGAGTAACAATTACAAAGACTAGCAAGGCAGCCTATGTGTGGAAGCGCATGTAAGTTGGGCTTGGCCCTTGAATTTAAGCCCGTTTTAAAATGTTCCACAAATGCCCTTTTAACATATTTTTTATTTTATTATTATTATTTTTTTTTTTAGGATATTTAACTTATCTAGTTGTTACCCTTACACTCACATTAAATATCATCAAATAAAAAAAAATGATCTAAATCCCATTTTAGTCTCTAAACGTTCATACTTATTTAACTTTGGCCGTTATGTTCTCAAAAAACCTTATTTTAGTTCTTTCCATAAATTTTTCATTAGTCATTACTAAAATTGAAAATCCTTTTTGAAACTATCTAACCTATCATATGACTTTAAATACTGAACTAATTATGGGTAAATATTTGTTCAATATATGAACAAAAAAAATATATATATTTGTTCAATAGGTATATAAATCAAAGACATGTTTGTCAAACCAAGCATAGCTCAACGGTAATTGACATATGCCTCTAATCAATAGGTTGTGAGTTTGAATCCCCTCTCCAATATGTTGTACTAAAAAAAAATCAAAGACCTGCCTTTGTAAAGTTTTTGTTAGATAATTTACAAAAATTATATAGTAGTAACGATTAAGATATTTTCTTTAATGTAAGGTTTAAGTGTTAAAAGTTAAATGTTTTAAAGTTTAGAGGCAAAAATGAAAACTTAGAGACGAAAATAGAATTTTTCTTTTTCTTTTTGTTCAATAATGGGTGGAACCATGATAATTGGCATATACTCAACGGTAATTTGCAGCGGTATAAACCTAGAGTCAAAGCAAGCATAACTCAGTGGTAATTGACATATATCTTCAACCATTACGTTGTGAGTTCGATCCACCACTTCACATGTTGTATAAAATAATAATAATAATAATAATAATGAGTGGAACCACGATTCACACAAACTCCTAAATTTTTTTTTAGAGGTAAGTAAATGTGTCTTAAATCAACTTGACTTTGCTCATATCGACACAAACCAAAATAGGATTTAAACTAAAAACAATTTGTGAATCTATTTTTAGTTTTTTGCAATTTGGGCAACATTTTGCTTGTTTGTATGGTATTGTTAGTTTCTTGGCTCCATAGCAATTCATGCTTCACAAGTATTTTTATTCAATTGGACAACCTTTTGAAAGTTTGTTAGAGTAATGTGACACGAGAGGGAATAATTATAACACAACTAAAATGTTCAAAAAATAATTATTATATTTAATTTTTGAAACAAAAAAACAAAAAACAAAGTGATAATGATAAAAACATGAGTAAAATGGATTGAGAATGTGAAAGGGATGCTGAGCACTTTGTCATGTTTGCCCTTATCCCAAAATGGAAAATCTCTAAAAATGCTAATTAGTCATTTACATATTTAAATAAGATAAAAAGAAAGAAAGGCAATTTATCAAATAATACAAAAATCAACAATTAAAAAAACCCATCCTTACAAATAATGTTATAATTAAAAGATCTCGTGTATTATGATTTTTACTTTATGTATGGAGTAACTAGTATGAAAATTAATTTAATTATTATTCCAAATAATTTTAGTAAATAGCATCTAGGAATGTTATTTTCATTGATTTTATTCTAATTGAATTTTGTTTTTATTTTTTGTCATTTTCATAGTGGATATTTCTGATCAAGAGATGAGTTCGAATCTCGCACCCCACTTATTGTATTAATAAAAGATATATCCTACTATAAAGGAAATTATTTTTGTAATTTTACTTTATAAATAACAATTTATACCTACCTTAACCTATTATGTTAATTAAGTTAAGTTAGGTTGGGTTGGTTATATTCTCTCAATGCTAAACATGATAATTATTTAAATATGATTTTGATCAATAAAGTTTATCTTTTGATTTTAATCTTGTCCTGAAAAAAGATATATATTATTTTAATTTCTCAAAGTTTAAAAGTTTAAAATTCAATTATTCTACTAAATCGTCTAACAAATAAGTTTTGTGATCCTTTTTCTTCCTGTCTTATGCACGTTTACCATCTTGAATGCTCAATAAAATTTAGCAAAATCTCTTTTCATTTTCTTAGGTTGTCAAGGGCAAAATTAAGTTATACAAATCAAGACTAGGAATCATGATCAACGGATTAAACGCTAAAGAACTACACCCTCAAAACGGGATAATATAGGGATCAAAACTTGTGACTGACAAGTCGAATTGGTCGGGCCAGGGTCATGACCCACTGAAAGCCAACCAGAACGATTAAAGCAGTTGAGTTGATAGGAAAGCTCTGTTACGTATCAACGACCACAAAATTCTATTTTTCCATCATTTTCAATGTTATTTTTTAAGGCTCCTTTTTCTTACTCATTCATTCCTAACATTGTATCTTCTCAATGACTCATAAAAAAATCAAATTTACTCCAAATGTGAAACCGACAAAAAAAAACAGAACAAAAACAAGAACAAAGGCTTGAAATAAATGATTCACATAACTCAATTAAACATCAATTGGCAAAGTGATTTTAATTAATGGTCGAGTATTACGGTATGACACGAAAAAAAGGGCAAAATCTACGATCTATGGATTAAAGAGTTCAAATTTCTAAGTGGTTTTACTCTATAAGATGAGAAAGATGATAAGAAGTTATGATTATGAGGGTCAAACTCTTGAAGAAAGATTAAGACCTCGTTTACATACCCGCAATTGTAATCAATGAATCGTAATGAGAACTTTGATTCTAGGTGTTTATCAAATTGTAGGAATGTGATCAAATGGTAAGACTCACCTCAGACTTTGTAATCTCATTGCATAAAAAATGTGTGATCTCATTACACTCCTACAACCCACCAATCTCATTCTCATTCCTTATTCCGTCGATCTCACATATATATTATAATTAATGTACCACTTTTACCTTTTCTCTCTCATCTATGGATGAGATCCCTATAATTTTTAATTAGTTTTTTTATACTTTTATAATTTATTCTGCTCCAATTTTTTTTAATTGATGTGATTTTATTATGTAATAGGATAAATTAATATTAATATCAATAAATTTTTTAAATAGATATTATTACTTTTAGAATAATAAAACTTAATAATATGTTATATTAAAGTTTGATTGTTCAAATAAAAAATATTTTATTTGATGTAATTTTATTTTAATTATTCTTTAATGTATTAATATTATATAAATTGTTATAATAAAAAATATTTACTATCAATAATATAGTAATAGATTAAATTAATATTATTGTAATTTAAAAAAGATTAGCACAATAATATATTTGTAATTAGCTAAAAAAGAGAAAGGGGTCTATTAGTAATTGTTATATATTTGATTCCAATTCCGATTCCGATTCCTGACAGTTTTAGTAAACAACGTCAAAAAAATTCTAATTACGATTCCAGAAAATTTCTAGTAAATAACATCAATGGAATAACATTACGATTCCGATTGATTTTCATTATGATTGATTTCCAATACGATTGCGGATAAGTAAACGTGACCTAAAATCGATTAATACAGTACTCTTAAAAGTTTAGTCTAGCTAATACATTATAAAGCTTAGTTTGAGGCTTACTTCAATTGTTCAATAAGGATTCATTCTACCAAATAATTAAGCATGTCCTAGAGAGGCGCCAATATTACTCATTTTTCTAGTAGTGAACACACTTTGAAATCGAATTTCATGCTATAATCAAAGGATCGTCTTAGAAGAGTTGAAATTGATTTTAACCCTAAACAGTCGTATCAAGCAAAATTTACCCCAACGAAAAGTCTACATAACAATAGTATAAACTTTTACATTACCTTAATAATTCAAGTGAATGTTAGGAAACTTTGAATTTATTCGAGTAATAATATTCCACATCTTAGATAATCATGCATCTAGAAGGAGAACGCAGCTACAAAAAAGACAAGATATATAGAGCTAAAAAGTAAGTTGTGTATTATTTTGTAAATCCACGTGGTTGACTTAAGTGGAAATTATGACCTCTAATAAGTTTGAAAACAAAAGGGGATCAAAATTATGCTCTTTCCACCAATAAAGGTTGATGAAATCTTAGTGAATCACAAGAGATTAGTGTTGGGGATTTGACTTTGGCCATCCTTTTGATGGGTTTAGTGGGGTCTTTATGATGTGTATGATCTTGGATTCACCCCCTCTTTCCATCCCATTTCAATCAAAATTTCACCATTTTAATTATGTCATTTTCTTCTAATTTGTCCATCAACCTAATAATAATATAGTCAAAACGAGCGATAATTGACATACATCTCCAATTGAGTAGTTGTGAGTTCGATCACACACACCATATATTGGAAAAAAAAACTTAATAATAATATATAAAATTTTACTCGCCTATTTCGTTTTGAATCATGAGATATTCCATTTTAGATTACAAGAGATTATATTAGTCTTTTATATATGTGTGTGTGAATTTGATTTCAAATCTAATATTTTATTTGACATTTTTTTTCCTTTATCAGTAACATTTTATTTGACTTACTTATTCGATGTGGCTTTGAATTTATTCATATAGATGCTAACCCATAAGGTAAATGAGTAAGTAGAAAGATCACTAATTAAGATACATCAACCTAAATATAGCTTAACTCTGGTTGAGATATTATGCACTTGTCTTTAAAGTCAACATTTTAACTCAAAATATATATAAAGCTCACTTTTTGTTTGGAGTAAATAAGCATAAATTTCTGTTGAAGATCAATTTATATATAATTGAAATATTATGAAAAATAAGAACCAGATTCAAACTATTTTATAATAAAAAATTAAAAGAAAAAAAACGAAGAAAATGCAAGGAAGAGTGTGAAGGTAATGAAAATAAAATACTTTTTTTTTTTGTATTTTTATGAAATTAAGCTTATGAGTTATGAAACATGGAGAGTGAAACAAAGAAGGCAAAATCGTGTAAATTAAACTTCCAAAATTATAAAATATACTTAAAATAAATTCATGTTGGAAAAATCCTACTTAATACTGTATCAGATTTTTAAAATATAAAATCAAATAATTAACGTAAATCTAAAAATACTATAATAAAATTTTGAAATAGAAAATCAACAAGCAACAAACATAACACGAGTTATAATCTAGACTCCAAATTATGAAATGTGGTCGTGAAATTAATCAAACTAAGTCATAGTCATGGTATTCAAGGTTTGTAAAAAAAAAAATTTTGAATTATATATGTATACACTGTTTTGTGAAAATTGAGCTACGGACGTGGGGAGTGCTCAAGGCAACATGTGATATACGGACATAGGACCGGTGGAGGGAGCAATGCTAGGATTGGCAATGGCATACAGGCAGCTACACGACGCGTCCTGCTGTGTAGCGCCTGTAGCAAGTCAAAGTGGCAGACGATGGGGACGATATCACGAGTCAAGAATATCTCCTAACGATCTGTCAGAGCCTGTAATGGAGCCCACCACGTCACACGTTAAGTGTCCTTCCTAGTCGACTTTGTCACTTCAGAAAGAGACAGGATCTCACCTCACAAATAAAGTGAAAAATCTATATATGAGTGTTCACAATTTTCTCCTATCTATCAGTTTACTAACTCAACCGTCGAACGATCTTAGGCAGGGCACTACATCGACATCGAAATCCGTGGTTGTAGGTTGACTTGTCTGAGGACTTTATTAGAGGACACGTGGACCAGTAATTTTGACATCAAAGTATAAATACATACATACATTCATTGAGTACATTATTTTTATATTTATTTATAATTTGGCCCTACCATTATGTGTACTCTCATTGATTGTTGGCGCGCGTGCGAATAAAAAATCATTGCTTTTTTGTATTTTATTTAGGTGAAATGTTCCATGATCCTTAAATTCCACGTGTGTAGCATTTTATTTCAGTCTTTTAATTTACATTAAAAAAGTTACTTTATATTTTTATTAGATTGTTTAGCTCTCGAGTTCATATGGATTGGATTTCTTAATCTTAATATCGTAAACAAAAAGAAAAAAAAAAATTCATACACCTATATTATGTAAATCTCAAAATTTTTTTATTTTAGTTCAACAATGGTAGAAGGATCGAATTATCGACTTCAAAGATGGCAATAAATATTTTATCCACCAAATTAGATTTAATTTTTTTTTTCAGTCTAACATCATGTGAGTTTCCGACCTTTTGGTATATATACTTAGATCCGCTATATTTTAAAAGTTTAATCATGCATTTTAAAAGCTCAACATCCCATGGTTAACTTATGTACTAAAAGTCTAATTTACCCATTAGTAAACTAATTATTGTCAACTTTATCTTATAGGTAAAACTTATTGCTTAAATTATAAAACCAAAGTTTAGGGCGTGTATGATAATGCTTTTGTTTCTTATATTTTTTTTTGTTCTTTAATTAAAAAAATAGAAGTATGTTTAATAACTAATTCTTATTTTTTACCAACCAGAGCATAGGTACATATATCCAATCATGAGGTTGAGAGTGAGAATCTCCATCCTCACGTACTTGTAGTAAAAAAAAAGCATAAATGTGTTTGGTAATCATTTTCTCTTTCTTGTTCTCTAAAATTTTAAATTATAAAAAAAATGATCAATAGTTACATGAAAATTAATTTTTTAAATTGATGTTCAAAATTTTTATGTTTTATTTCTTTCCTAGTAGTTGTTATTGATTTTTCCATAAGTGAAGAATGATAAAATAACATTTTTATTCATGTTTTGAAAAAATTAAAAATTGGAGGAAACAAAAAACTTGACTCGTGTTGTTTCCAAAATTTTAATTACTATATTTCTCAAAAGCTTAAAATGAGAAATAAGGAATGAATGTTAAATTTTAGAAACATTTCTATATAAGAAACAAAAAACAAATACAATTTTCAGATCCTTATATTTCTAACAAGAAACGAAAAATAAAAACATTATTACTTAAAATATTCATGGTGAGTACAAACCCTCCACGTCCAATTGCATTCGTAAAAAATCAAATATATATATATATAAACCGACAACATAGTTCATTTAATTAAGGCATACTTTGAATAGAAAAAAAGTCGATGTTTTAATTTTCACTTGAATTAAAGAAATAAAAATAGAAGTAAAGGCTTTTTTTTTTTAGTATACCAAACTAGAGGTGAATTTAAGGTTACTTTCACACTTATATCAATATGTTCCTTAACTTCAATAATTTTATTTTGGTCACAATATTTATTAGAAAAATTCCTCTATTACTATTAAATTTTTAATTTGCATAACAGGAATCTAAAATTATATTAGTAATCTATGGCAGAAGTCCCCATAATTAATACATAAGAGTCATGTTAAAAGGACTAAAATGACTATCATGGAAATTTTCAAACTCTAAAGTAAAATATTTGAAATGTACAAAACGATAATATATATATATATATTTTGGAGGAGTATTATCTATGATTTTATATAAACAATCCAATTTTTTTTTAGTATAATAAATTTCTAGTACGAGAGATCCAACCTCAGACCTTAGAAAAATAAGTATGTACTAATTACTGTTGAATTAGGCTCGTGTTCGTAAATTAACTTAAACAAAATATTTATAATTTACAATTTTATACAACATATATGATATATAGTATATAATATATAATATATTCTTTTCTCTACGGAAAAACATCAATAAATGAAGGAAAAACCAAAACATAAAAGCCAAAATCCCTATTTTTTCCTAGTCTTCATCCTATATCTCCACCCAATAAAAATCTAAGAAAATTAAGAAAATATTAAAAATAAAAAAAAAAATTGTAACCTTTCGCCTTCGCCATTGCCAATGAGTGTAAATAATTAGAACCCAAAAGGCCCACAAATTTCTTCAAAGGCCCACAAATTTTCTCAGGTCAGTCATCGGCGCCGCCGTCCAACTTCCTTTCCCCGTCGTCAGAACAGTAATCCGCCATTGCCGTCATTGCTCTCGTTGGAGGAATCTGCAGAACCTCCGGCGGACGGAATTTGAGAAGAAACCGCGCTTTCCATCAGAAATCCGTCTACGACGACTCCGCCATTCGCCGGCCTAGTCGCGGATAGCCTCTGCAGAAAGTCGCCGCCGTGCGCGCCGGCCGGAAACATGAACGGCTCGGGGTGGTTCTGATGGTAGAACTGCGGCTGCTGCTGTAGGTAACCAGACGGCGGCGGAGACATCCCGACGTTGGGCAGATTGCCGAAATTCGATTGACGAATCCCCCCGAAGCCTAGCGAGAAATTGGGGGCGCCGCCGTGGTGCGAAATCGAAGACGCGAACGGCGGAGTTGGACCGCCGGTGAACTGCTGAACCATCGCTCTGAAATTCGTGGTGTCCGTGTTGAGCAGCGTCGTCGGAGTCCGGCGAGACGCCCTGGACCGGCGGCGAACCGGCTTTCCGACGCGACCATCCGGGTTCAAGCCGGCAGAAACCCCAGCGTTCCCGGCAGAACTTCCGACGGCGGTGGAGGTGGTGGCGACGGCGGTGGCATCGGAAACTCGATCGGCGAACATCATTGCGGAGGCGGGTTGATCGGAAGACGGTGGCGGCGTCGCGGCTGCCGCCGTGTTAGAGAGGTTGTGATGGTAAAATTGAAGCCAGTCGCCAGGGTTAGACATGGTCTAACGGCACCGCCAAGAGGAAAAGTAAATTATACTATTCCTCTCTCTCTCTTCTTTCTCTCTCTACTGGTTTTTTTTCTTTTCTCTCTCTCTGTGTTGTGGTTTTTGGTAAGAGGGAAGGAAAAGTAAGGGAAGCAGAAGTCATATTTATGGTGGAATGGAATCAGTGTGGTCAAAGTAAAGACCCAATTGATGCAAGAAGACCAAATAAACATTTTTTTCTTCCTCTTTCTTTTTTTAATATTATTAATTTGACTAAATTATAAATAAAATACTTGAATTAAAGTTCAAGTAATGTTTTAATCAGTTAATATAAATATTTTAGAGGAATTGTCTCCCTTGAAACTATTTTTCACAGATAGATTTGTGTTTTCATATATTACATATTTAGATTTCAAAGATTTAAAATTTTTTATTTATATCAAGATTGCCTCATTTTTTTATATTTTTTTATTTAAATGTTTAGATTTTATTTTTAATTAAATGTTTCCCAATTTAAATTTCTAATATTAAATATGATATATTTAGATTTTTAAATATTAATTTTTCATAGTTCAACTCATTTATTTTTCTAATTTTCTCCCTATTTTTCTCTCGTTCGAATTTTTCAGCAATTCCGATGGTTCTTGTTTGAATTTTTCAACATAAATTATTTTTTTGTGGCTTTTTTTACATCTTTTTTTAACAGTATGATAAATATATTCTCCCCTAAAATCTTATATAAATATATATTTTTTATTAGTTTATATAAACTATTAGATTATATTAATATATTCCAACGACTCTTATACAATAAGTTTTTTCCTTGTAATCTTATACTCTACGTTATATATGAAACTAAAAGGTTATATAATATATACTTATATATCGGTATATACAATTTTGATATCTCTATTTTCTTCTTTGGAAAAAATAAACCCTAGACATCTTATCATTCTCTTCCTTTGACCAAATCGCTGCCCCCTCTTACAGCCACCACACAGCCTCCCTCACTGACAACGACTCTCAGGCGACTGCATCATAATGTTCGTTCGTGCTGCAAATCTGGTCGAGTTCATGGGTGTTGTGCCGCTATGGAGGTAATCGCATATCTAATCAGATTCGTGTGTGTTATTACATCGCTATGGGTGTTATGTCGTTGTGGAGGTAGCCACATATTTGATTGAATTCGTGGGTGTTGCATCATTGCTTATTCTCGCCGGAGGAGGGAGGGAGGGGGTTACAAGTTTTGGGTGGGAGAGAAAGGAAGAGATTAGGGTTTCATACACTGAATGAAAGAAAGAGGGAGAGAGATGTGATTTTTGAGTTTTTTTTAAGTACAACATGTGAATTTTGAAATTGAAAATAGATTTTTCCATATTTGAATTTTTCTTTAATATAGCAAATTTGCAAAATGTTGCATCACCCATTTTAACACAAAAGTTTAAAATCTTAAACATGAATCCATTAATGTAAATTGAATCTCCATATAGTATAGTGTGTACTTATCCCAATACTTTAACTTAGCTTGGTTTCGAGATTGACTTTATGAATTTCTTTGAAAAAATAATTATTTTATTAGTACTTTTAAAGTTTTCCTTTCTTCTCTCTCGGGATCAATAGATAAAATTTTCTCTCTCAAAATGATAGAATAGTGGTAACTTTTATATTAACAAAGAGAAAATCATTCTGCTACGGCGGAAAAATATGTTTAAATACTATTTTGGTGACATAATTTTAATTTTTATTTATTTTGGTCTTTATAATATTGAAACGTTTGGTTTTGGTTCTCAACTTCTTATATTTTTAAAAGGTTACCATTTTGGTCTTTTGTTTTATTTTTGTCTCATTTATTTAGATCAAAATTTTAGTATGACATTTCGTTCACTAATTATTGAAATGTAGTTATAAATTTGTATTCAAGGATTTCCATTGTGTATAAAATTTGTATTAAAATTTTGCAAATATGAATTAAAAATTAAAACAATCACTTTTAAAAAATACAAAGACTAAAACGAGCATTTTAAGAGCATATGGACTAAAATAATAAAAATGAAAAGTTTGATGATCGAAATAAATATTTTAAAAGTATAGGCTACGGAATAGTATTTAAAAGTTCAGGGGGTTAAAAAGAGCATGTTTTTTTTTAATTTAGCCTTTTAATTATTGAAAATTAATTTCAGAAAAAGTTTTTATATATATTTAAAAAATAAAAATATTAGTAGGTAATGTATTTCAGTATTTTGAAAAATATG